TGTGTGAAAATAGCATTTTAAGAAAACGGCCGATAAAAGTCAGAAAAGGCCAAAATAGTTCTCTTTCCAATTAGAAACCGTAAAATTATATTTTAAACTCGAACATGGCAACTTTTTTATAATATTAACACAGTAGAAATAGAATGAACGTTTCCTACTAAAACTGAAACATATAAGCTGAGTAAAACATGCCTTTTGAGAAAAAAAGTGGCAATTATTTTCTTTTTAAAAGTCTCTACCCTCTGCTCTAAAATCCCTTCAAACACAACTTTAGGGTGCAAAAAATCTTACATACGTTTCTGGACTTTTGTCCAGGAAATATCCTGGAAATATATTATATAATAAGTGATAACCCAAGTTTTTTTTATAATTTCACCCAAAAATATTTTAGGGGTCACTTCATGGTCACTTCTCCTTAGAATACTTCACAACATGCACAAGATAACAGAAATTAAATAACGCATCATAACATTATGTGAAAATCTATAGGCCTACTTGAATACCACTATAACACTAATTAAAATTCTAAGAAGTACAGGCTATTAATTGTTACCTGAGCAGTCGCTCATCAGTTAAAACAAAATAAAGAATAGAGTAAAAAGAACCAAAAACCAGCCGACAGAATATTTTCTCCACAGAGCGATAGATAGCATAGCAAATAACATCATATCATAGAAATGTTGAGACGGTTTCAGGTGATTTCGGGAGGTTTTGGGTAGTTTCGGGTGGTTTTTTGTGTGGTTTCGGGTGGTTTCGGGTGGTTTTTTGTGTGGTTTCGGGAGGTTTCGGTTGTTTTCGGGAGGTTCTGGTATAAACAAGTACCGCGTTTTGTGTCTTTAATCAACGTTCTTCAGTAAAATTCACATGGAAACGTGGTTTTATAAGAAAATAAAGGAGGTTGAGTCAAAAAATAAAAATTCAGTAAAAATGTCCAGACTGGCGGGAAAATGCCTGTTTCTCCGATTTCTGTATGTTGACGAGTACCTAATGTCCCCACTCTGCATAACGTATATTTGTGGTGTCGGTGGTATAGTCAAATATCGTGTAGTAAAGAATCTTTAGTATAGCGGTAAGGTTTTCAGGCTCGTGACTAAGAGGTAATGGGTTAAAACCCCGTCAGGGGCTCAACATTGTGTCCTTGAGAAAGGCACTTTACAAGAATTTTCCTCACTTCACCAAGGTGGAAATGGTATTATTATAATATGGTTACCCGGCTATTGAAGACGAAAGTTCAATATGTTCGGCTAGTGTTTGAGCGCTTAACTGTAACTGCTTACCGGTGTCTGTGATGTAACGGTTAGGTGTCTCACTGTCGCACGCAAGAGACCCGAGTTCGATTCCTGGGTGGAGTTAATTATTTTATCGATTTATCGAGTATCGATATCTCGGTTTTTCTGTTGGGATATTGTATCCCTTTCAGTTCGGGTTGGCCCTGACAAGCATTGTCGAAGTCTGACTCCTAAAGCACTGAGATAGTTAAGATGGGCCTACATCTTGGCCTTCTCAGTCCAGGCCATACAGCCCGCACGACTAGCTCCGGCATTGGGGGCCGGGGTGGACGACCTTATCTTGATAAGCTCGCCTCGAGACCGGTCCTTATCTTATCGAGGATCAATGTGAAAAGCAATAATTAAATGCGAAAAGCGGCGATAGGCAGATGTTCTAATACTAATACGTAAACAGGTGATTGAACATTTTTGCATTGCGCTTTTGCGTGCCGATAGCGTAATAGTAATGTGTGTAGTGTGTAGCCGTCTAGTCTGTCTAATCTCCTAGCCTCTTCATTGTTTCATTCAGTCCTCTTGGTGTACACGGTTTTGTTTTTCGTTTGGATGTATTTTCACTACACTCAATTCTAAGGATTAAATTTCTGCTTATATTATGTGTTTTAGTGTTCCGCCCAAAAGCCCAGATTCTGGTTTTCTTTCATCTTGAATGTTATTGTTACTAGAATCTACTGTTACTCAAGTTACTGTGAATAAGTTTTCAGCTGACGTCTCAGTTTCAGCGCAATGAACCGTGTGAGCAACATTTGAACATGGGAAGAAAGTGTAGGGGATGGGGCAGTAGAAGTGGTTATGCCAGCAAAAAGGGAGATGCAAAATAACAATAATATAGATTTCCAAAAGGTACGGAAAAAAAGAAAAGTGGATCAAAAGTGTTCCAAAATTAATTGTAGAAGAAGTCACGGATTATAATATATGGGAGTTTGCTCTCAGCACTTCAAACCTGATGTGCCGTTGACACGGGCTGGAAGATTTATGGTGCCTACAGAGTCTCCAACAATATTTCCAGAAGTACCATCATCATGTTGTGGCACACCAGCTCCAAAAAAAGAGAGCAACTGCAACAAGTTCAGCTTCTTCTAGAGCTGCAGATATTGATGAAATGAATATATTTAAAGAAAGAGATGTCTTCAAGTTGGATTCATTTTTATCAAACAATGGATATGACGCTGACAACCATTGGCAATGTTGCAAAGAGTAAAGATTATTATAATACATTGTCTTGCTCAGCAGAACTCGAGATGGCCCTATTTTTGCATTTTCCAAGTATTTCACTTTTGTTCACCATACCCATAACCAGGTGAAAGAGGTTTCATTTGAGGCTTCACAAACTGAAGCACATCAGGCATTCAGGCTTCACTAGAGATGTAATTGTCACTTGCTAGAATCAGTTAGCCTGAAATGGAATTTTGTACTTCATGTGTAACCTTCCAGAGAGACATTGTTGGCCTACACTACTACTAGATCTACTACTTGTTGGGTAGGTTTTTTTTTAAATATTTTTTTTTAAATGGAAACCACTGAAAAACTGTGCAGAAACTGATAAGTGGCGATTTTGTGGGACTTCCCAGCGATATTCCATCTTGATAAATTGTCATTGTAAGCTGATGTGGCTGGCAAAATATCTTCATGAAATATTTGCGGAGCAAATGAAGGACAGGCGAAGAAAAAAATAGCAAAGTCACTATTTTCAGAGGTAAGGGATCATGTTCAGTTACATGCTTAATATAATAATAT